GCCATGCCCGGTCAGCAGTACTCACTGAACACTGGTTCCCACCCGTGAGCTGAAGTCCACACTCCTTAGCAGGGCCTTGCCTACTTGCTCCCACAGGTGGTGCATGCCTATAGTCCTAGCTATTCAGGAGGCTGAGGCAGAAGGATTGCTTGAACCCAGGAGTTTGAGGTTGCTGTGAGCTAGGCTGACGCCACAGCACTGTAGCCCGGGGCAACAGAGTGAGACTCTGTCTCAAAAAAAAAAAAAATATTGAAGATTTAACTTGTCTCAACAACAACCTGTCTCAACCATGAACCCCCAAGCCTTTTGTATATACTATTCTCTTTGACTTGAATTCCCTTTCCCTCTTCAGTAGCCTGGCTAACTCTCACTTTGAGATGAAGCACTCAAATGCCATGCCTCCATGTAGATTTCCTTATCTGCCCAACCCTTAGCAGTGCTGACCACTTCCATGTTTGTACCAGTCCCTACTCTCTTACACACAGAGAGAAGTTGAACCTTAAGGGGTTAGGGTGGGGGCAGAATCTAAAATCAACACAAATGTATATGGTTAAAAATACTCTTGAAAATTCCTTAAATCATCTGTTAAATGTAGTATACATGGTTTTGTGAATATAATCCTGTATGATATGCATGAATGCATAAAGTATGCAGATGCTCCTCTTCTCATGATGGTGTTACATCTGGATAAATACCTGAGTCAAAAATACATTTAACATGCCTAACTTACCCAACATCATAGCTTTGCCTATCTTTTTTTTTTTTTGAGACAGAGTCTCACTTTTGTTGGCTCAGGGTTAGCAGTGGTACCGTGCATCAGGCGCTAGCTCACAGCAATATGAACCTCACTCAAATCTTCCTGGGGGGGCTCAAGCAATCCTAGCTGCCTCAGCCTCCCTATATAGGGATAGCCGGGAGCTACAGGCATGCACCACCATTGCCTGGGGGCTAATTTTTGTGGATATAAGTTTCAGTTTTGGTCAATTGTTTCTTCTCTGATTGCTTTAGGGTTAGAGACGGGACGGTTTCGGCTCAGGCCTGGGTTTAGGAACTAATGCTGAGCCTAGCGAAGCCGACACCGCCTCGAGGCCACATGCCAAATAAACACGTCTAACCACATGTGATTCGTGTTCATGCTGCTGGTCCCCATACGGTTTGCCGACCCCCCAGACAACGTGCCATTAGGATTCCAGGCGGGGTAGCCACCATGCCGCGCCCATTCGGTCATAGGCGCCTGAATAGCATTATCTTAAAACATGCTCAGACGGCTACATTAGCTTATAGCTGGGCAAAATCACCTGACACAAAGCCTATTTTATAACAAAGTATTGAACATCTTATGTAATTTATTGAATACTATACTGAAAGTAAAAAAGAATGGTTGTATGGATACTGGAAGGATGGGTTCTACTGAACATCTATCACTCTCACACCATTGTAAGGTCAAACCATCCTGAGCCTGTCTGTACAATGTGCAAAATATGACAACACTAAATTGCTCCTCCCCTCTTTTGCTAAGCACACGCAGTTGAATCTGTCAACATAAACTCCAGGTGAGGCAGCTCCTTGGTCCCTTCACCAAGAACTGTACACTCTACTGCCCATCATTTATAATTTGTCTGTTCCCTAGGAGCTTTGTTTCCCACGTGAAAGGGCCTTACACAGATTAGTATGTGTTAGCTGAAATTATTTCCCTCCACACCCAAGGAATCTGGAGCCCCTTGTCTGGAGCCCTTGTCTTCAGCATCCTGTGTGGACACTGAATCTCTAAGAACATCAGCGGAGTCTGGACTTCCCTGTCCTGCCTCACACGTGGCCTCTGTGATCACATAGATACCCACCCATGACCTTGGCTCCACTCCCATTGGTCACTAACCCAGCTCTAAAGAGTCTAACTGCTACTTGGACAGTTCTGGATATCCCATGGCCCCCTCAAACACAGCACATCTGTTGGCTTCCATTCCTTTCATCCCTGTGACAAACCTGCCCCCTCCTTTTCGTGCCTCAGTGACTAGTAGGACCACCCATCCCACTGTCTAAGCCAGAGACCTGGAGGCTAAGTTCTGCTCCATCTACCCCCTAACCATTCTGTCACTGACTCTTGTAGCTGATCTCATTAAAATTTTTCCAACCCACACTCTTCTATTCTCACAAAACAAATGTTTCATCTTTTCTCACCCAGCAAGACTAAAAAACTCTCCTGCCCCCAGTCATACCCCTTAAATGCATTTTCCACACTTGTAGGGGCTTCTCTCATAAGCACATCTGATCATGCCATGCCCGGTCAACAGTACTCACTGAACACTGGTTCCCACCCATGAGCTGAAGTCCACACTCCTTAGCAGGGCCTTGCCTACTTGCTCCCACATCCCTTCATATGCAACACATCAAGCAGACTGAACTTCTTACATTTCTCCCAGTGACCAATGCCCTCCTATTTCTGGGCCTCTGTATTTGTTGTTCCTGCTGATCAATATCTTCCCTTGTCAGTACAACCAACCCTGAAGGTACCTAAGGGACTAGCCTTTGCAAATGAAAGACAGTCACCAGGGAGCCCAGCTAGATCAATATGAAATTTGTCATCCACAAGCATGGTGACTGCACTGCTTGTGGCCAATCCTGAGCCCCATGTCTCACCCTCTTGGTGATGACCAGGAAGCAGGTTAGGCTAGAGAGCAAGGATACGAGGAGAAATGGAAGTCCGCTCCCACTGCAGCAGACATCATAGCCTCCAGACTTCGCTGTTCTTGGACCCCGAAACAGTAGCCATTGGCTTTATCCACAGCCTGCAGGACTCGCTGAATGCTCTCCTTGTCCTGAGCAGGGAGGAGAAAAACAGCTCTTTGAGTGAAACAGAGGTGTATAGAACTGCTTGCAATTTCTAAATACACCCTCCTCTATCTTGTCCCTGTAAATGTAGCTTCCTTGGCCTGGAATAATACATGTCTTCAGAAGCCTGGCTAAATCCCATCCTTCCTGACCACCAACCCACCCAGATTAGACCAGATAAGCTCCTCTATGCACACCCACAGTCCTCTGGGTTTATCTCTATTACAGATGGTATTTCTATCATCTTATAAATGCTTATTATAATCTGCCTCCCATATTTAACCAAAAACCCCTTAATGTCAGGGACTCATTTGTCAAGGTATTCCTGGTGCCTGGCACAGTACTACTCTTAAGTAGGCAACCAATACATGTGCGTGTTATTTAACCTAAAACTATTTTCTCACCCACATACAGTGATAAGAGTAGTCTATACATCACACGGTGGGAAGGACAGATCGAAATAATGCATGTACAGTCCTTAGCACAGTACCCAGCAAAGAAAGCCATAAATAAGAAGTTATGATTAATATTACACAGTTCACCTCCTATTACAGATAAGAAAGGAAGAGATAAGTTAGCTTAAGTCCACCCATGCAGAAAAAAATCTAACATGCACCCATGTGTCTCCCAGGTTATTTCTGCAGAATGTGAAGTGAGTGGCACCAGGGGTTAGATACCACATTGCAAAGTCAACAGGCAGTTATCCAGTTGAATGGGCCTAAGAGATTTGTTTCTGGTCCTGGTCAAGTCCTTTGCTAATGATTTTCTGAACTTATTCATTTTTACTGAGGGAACGAAAATGTGTAGAGAGGGCCTAATGATACAGAATAGATAGGGCGAAAGTTCGGTCCACCCTCTTTACTGGGATACTTCCTACCATTAGCCCCTGGGCCTGAAACCAAGGGAACTCAATGATAGTGACATACAGAAAAAAGACCACTGTAAGTTTGCAAAACTTCCTGTGCCCTTAGTTTGGTAAGTCCCAGGCACTGTCAGAGCCTATAGCCAAAGGAAAGAGGCCTCTTAGTCCCCAGTACCTGGATGTTCAGAGGAATGAAGGAGACTAGGCTATAGTCTTCTATGAGCTGCACCAGTTTCTCATTGAGCTGCCGGTAGTGGCGGAAGAAAGGGTCAGATGCCAGGTGATCAAGTAGATAGGAGAGGTCCAGGACCTCTGTGTAGTAGTCCAAGTTGAAGGCTAAGGAGAGAAACCAATGTTCAGGAGCAGCTAACATCAGGCTAAAGACCTAAGGACTGGGACCATATTTTCTTTCTTTTTTGTCTTCATTCACTCAAATATTTGTCAACAGAGCAAAATGAAGTAACTAAGAAAGAAAATAGCTGCTTTTACCTGCTGGCTCTGCCATTTAGTAGCTATATGGGCCGGTATCTACGTCACAGAACTGTTGTGAGGATTAAATGCTATAAACCCCAGTGTCTGGTGCATAGACATGCTTGGTCAATGGTAGTAAATAATGATATCAAACATATACCAAGAACTGTGCATGGTCATCTCATGGAGCTCACAGTCAGATAATTACCCTAGGACCTGGCAAAATAAGACCCTGTAAATGCTGGTTAAATTGAATGAATGCTATATTCTAGCAGAGTGGCCTCTTGAGTAAATCACTTTCCTTTTCTGGGCCAGTTCCTTCTTAATGTAAAATGAAGAGACCAGACTAGATGATTCTATAAACAACTTCCCACTAACAAGAGGAAAGTAGGCCTCCCTATACTAGCCCATTTCTGCCGAGGAAACTTCAACCTCTCTCCCTGCTCATGTGCTGGTCATTTTAGCTGTCTTCTCTAGGTACCTTTATAGTTAGAGATGCTATTTAGCAAACAATGCCCCTAGCTCAGGAGAGCACTAATTTGGCAGGAAAAAAATGCTGGCCACTGGGAACCTTGGCAATTCCCCTGACTCATACCAGCCTGCTTCTCCCTCTATCCTCCCTACCTTGTGCCTGGCCTCCCACTCCCTGTCTCTCTGCCACATGGGCTTAAACAATGGTCTTTTTCTGTAAGGACACAAGGCATCTGTCTAGAAGCCAGAAGGAGGCTCTCATCAGACACTGGATCTGCTGGTGCCTTGATCTTGGACTTTCCAGCCTCCAAAACAGTGAGAAATAAATGTTTGTTGTTTAAACCATCTGGTGTTTTGTTATAGCAGCACAGACTAAGACAAGGCCTCTATCCCTGCTGGTCCCTCTGTCTAGAATAGTCTTCCCTTGGCTGGCTCTTTCTCACTATTCAGGTGTCAGCTCAGATGCCACTGCCTTAGAGTGGTGAGGCACTGCTCACTCCCCTCACTTCTAGTCACTCACTGTCACATCACCTTGTTTTAATTCCTTCATAACACATATCACCCACTGTAGCTCCCTTGCACCTAAAATCTACAACAGTATCTGGCACAGAATGCACAAAAAAATGGATAGGAGTCAGAACCTGCCTACAGCTATCACCAGACCATGCATGGTCCCAGAGGCAACTTCCTTCACCTGAGATTTCTGCTGTACTCTGGCCCCAGCTGCTGTCCTACTCCTTGCCTGCCTGAATAGGAGCTCTTACCCAGCTTCCCATAGTGCTCAATGAGGTCCATTTTGGAGAGGAGGTTGACATGTGGCAGCTCCACGTGAAGCATGGTAGCCAGGGAGGTGCACAGTACTGAAATGAACTTGGCTGGGTCTGTGCAGTAGTGAGAATCCACGAGGTGGACAGCAGTCAGCTAGGAGGGGAGGAAGAGACAGGTTGAGAGTGGCCCGGAGAAGAGGAAACATCAGGGACTATGTCTCCCTTATCAGAATGGGCGACTGAGGACAGAGTATAAGCCTTCCCCATTAGTCTCCGCCTGCTTCTACTCTGTTCCAATAGCCACACTCATTTCCTACTCCTAGAAAATATGAATGTTTCTTACAATGTGCATTGCACTGAGCCACCCAGTGGGCAAAAGGGTTTAAATCCCACTGCATGACTCTACTCTTTCATTTACTTTTGCTCAACTTGCAACCACCACGGCCATGCCATTGCCTACATAACTCTTTCCATTCTTCCAAAACTCTTCAGTTGGCTACTAACATATCTATTTTACAGATGAGAAAACTGAGGTTCACCGAGATGAACTGGCTTGCTCACACCACACAGCGAGTCAGTGGCAGAGTCAGAATTCGAACTCACATCTGTTTTACTCCAGCCCCTACCTCGCTGTGTGGCATGAGTGCGTGGTATCTGTCCCCCCTGTCTCAGTTCCTCCGTCTGCAAATTGGGCCTGCCCAACCCAAGACGCACCCTAAGGTCCCACTTTGCCATTTGGGAGAAGATGCTGCGCAGGGCGCCATGATGCGTGCAGAGCTCCACCTGGCCTGGGCAGTCGAACAGAAAGTAGTGGCCACGGAGGGGGTCGAGCTTGGCACGCAGCCAGTCCAGGTTGGCTTCCAGGTACTCCATGCAGTAGAGCAGGCCGCCGTTGGGCCCTAGCCGCAGCGCGTCCATCACGTCGCCCAACCCCACCAACTCGCCCACGTCCACAGCGCACTCGTACGGCAGGCCCTCGTTGGCCGGGTCCAGGTTCACTACGGCCACGCGCCGGCCTAGCGCGCGCAAGAACTCACTCATGCCCAGGCAATATGTGGTCTTCCCCGAGCCCGGCGGGCCGATCACAGCTTGCCCAAAGGCCGTGGTTGGGGCAGCCCCAGCCATGGGCGGTCCGGAACGCAGCAAGTCACCTCAGCCGGTAAACAAGGCGAGCAACCGCGCCGGGGATAAGACCGAAGGCGGGGGATCTGCGACGTGCGCTTCGTTGGGGGCCTAGCAACAGTGCCCGGGGTCGCCTAAGGTAGGACAGATCGAACCCGGGATAAGCAAGGTGAGCTAAGGGGTCAGTACTGAAGTACCAGCTCTTGACTTCCGGACGGCGGCGGAAGCGCCGGGCTTCGAAGAGGATGTCCCGCCCTCACGGTGGCGACGCAACTCTACGCCGAGGGGCGTGGCGACGCAGCCGCGTTTCTCCCGCCGGGGACGAATCGGATGTGGGGACCTCGGCGGGGGAAACTCTCGGGATTTCCCAGACCTTCCTTCGGGCTCCAATTAGTAGAGAAAGGGGAGACCCAATAGTAAACTTTATTCTTCCGTTACGTGGCAGACCCGAGCCACCTCCGCGGACTCTGCGCTGCTCCGCCTCAGCCAGTGAGGGTAGAGGCGGTGGTGGGCCCGCCCCAAGACCGTCTCTTCCTGAGAACACCACAAATGCTCCCAATACCTGGCCCTCACGGTAACCCCCTCTAGACTCCCCAAGGAAGACTGTGCGGATAAGCTCACCCAATCCAGCTTTTCAAGGTATTGCGGTAGGCAACAAAGGCTAGGGTTAGGAGACCAATAAAGAGAGGTCATTAAGCCCTTTACAATACCCAAGGATTTTGTAAAAATGCCCTTGAGGTAGATAACCTGTAGGCAAGCTCAGAGCAAAGTACCCTAAACAAGCCATGAAGATTGCTGCTCCCTGGCTCCTTTCTGCTTCAGTGGTAGATAAGGCCCGGGAAGAGGGTTTTCCTGCAGTTTTGAGTGATTCTGACCAAGGAATCCCTCAAACCAGTCACTCAGGCTCTGAGGGGCTATTCAAGGCACAACTGGAACTCCTCACAAAGGCCATGTCTGTCCGAAACTTCATGCTAGTGGGTGGCTGGCGGCGGAGCAGTGACTCCCTCTGGTCCTGGGGTAGAGGTTCATCATAGATGGTGGAGATGAGCCCCAAGCCAGTTCCACGGGGCCTCTTCAGTTGGCCAAATGGCTGCAGCTTCTCTCCATGGTACCTGGATAAAAAGGAGCTTTCAATAAGGGCTGCTCTCTCAAATCCCAGGACAGGGGTTGGGAAAGGACAGGAAGTAGCTACTACGTATGTCCTTTGTCCAAAGACAGAGGCTTTAAATCTGGATCTTTGCTCTCCAGCCACCTTATCTATCATTGACAGGCAGTGCCAGCAACCAGAGGCCTCTGATACAATTTTCATTCTGTCACTATAGACGATGTGATGGCAATCGTCAAGTCCACACTCCTCAGATGGTGGAATAACTCTCAGGGAATCAATGATCCTGTTAAGCCTTGGGCCTTGGTCTTAAAAAAAGTACCAGATCTACTTTTTTTTCTTTCTTTTTTTTGTCTTATTCTGTTGCCGTGGGTAGAGTGCAGTGGCATCATCACAACTCATTGCAACCTCAAACTCCCGGGCTCAAGCGATCCTCCTGCCTCAGCCTCCCAAGTAGCTGGGGCTCAAAGGTGCACAACATCATGCCCAGCTAATTTTTTTCTACTTTTTTCTACCTGAGCAGAGTCTTGCTCTTGCTCAGGCTGGTCTGGAACTCCTGAGCTCAAGCAATCCTTCCATCTTGGCCTCCCAGAGTGCTAGGATTATAGGCATGAGCCACTGTGACCTGCCTAAATCCACTTTTTTCTTCAACTCTGCTTTGAAGTTCATCTCAGCACCCATCCCAAAACCAGTGGGAAGAGGGAAACCAAGGCACAGATGAAAGCCCTAGGCCCCAGGGAAGTGACTCAGCCACACTCACCCCAATCCATATTTGCATCTGGGGTGCTGGCCATCACCATCCAGGGCCTCGGGCACCCCTGAGCACCTGCTGCCCAGGCCCTGGCCCTCTGCCCAGCCCTGCCGCTCCATCACCTTCCGCCCAATGCCCTGTAGAGGGAAGGGACAAGACTCAGGAAGTGGAGCTCCTGCTGGGAGCAGGGGGGATGGGATGGGAGTAGAAGAAGGAATGCAGGCAGACAGGAAAAGAGAGTGGGCTAGGCACAGTGCTTACTCACCTTGGTGTGGCGCTCAAAGGTGCCCACCTGGCATCTGATCACAGAGCCATCTTCCTGGCCATCTCGGAGTCTCCGTTCCAGACGCATTTGGACAGAGTCTCGGGCATCTTTGTCTCCACCATCTGAAGAATCAGAGCCCAATTTGTGCAGCAGAAGTAGGGGAAACCAGGTTTCTAGGACCCCCTCACAAGATTTACTTATTCATTTGAATGGTGTTGTTATCTTATCTCTCATTTGACTAGAAACTCATCAAAATTAGAAACAGTGGCTTTCCCCCATCTTACGGATGAGGAGATTGTGGTGTAGAAAAGTCTCAGAGCCAACATATGACACAGACAGGATTAGGACCCAGGTCTTCTCTCCCCACCCTATAGGCCTTTTTTTTTTTTGAGACAGAGTCTCACCTTGTTGCCCAGGCTAGAGTGAGTGCCGTGGCATCAGCCTAGCTCACAGAAACCTCAAACTCCTGGGCTCAAGCAATCCTGCTGCCTCAGCCTCCTGAGTAGCTGGGACTACAGGCATGTGCCACCATGCCCAGCTAATTTTTTCTATACATATATATTAGTTGGCCAATTAATTTCTTTCTATTTATAGTACAGATGGGGTCTCGATATTGCTCAGGGTGGTTTCGAACTCCTGACCTCGAGCAATCCGCCCGCCTTGGCCTCCCAGAGTGCTAGGATTACAGGCATGAGCCACCGTGCCCGGCCCACAGGCCATTTTTTACTCCAAAATCTAAACTTTTACCAGAGCCTGAGCTCCTGATCATCCCAGTCTACCAGGGCCTACCCCTCAGACCCAGAGCTCCCTGAGGGATGTTCTCAGGCGGCCTGGCTTCTCTACCAGGAAAGGACAAAGCTCTACCCACAGCTGGCACTTAATGTACAAAACTATAGGTATTTTAAAAGAGGAACCCTATCACAGTGGGCTACCTTAAGGGAACTGGTCCCATCTCAGCCTCTGCTAAGCATCTCTGGCAAAGTGTCACTGTAAGACCAGGGCACCAGTTCCAACTCCCACTACTGCCATCCCTTGCCCAGTACCTCTGTCGTAGTACACACTCATGTCCACGTCCCAGTCATCAGCTGTCTGTTCATCAAAGTCTGCAGGGATATGAAAGCATCCAGCACAGTGGGTTAAGGACTCAGTAATACTGAAAGCTAAACCTATCAGAACTTGGGGCTTTTGTTTGTATTTTTATTTTATTTATTTTTTTGAGACAGAGTCTCGCTTTGTTGCCCAGGCTAGAATGAGTGCACTCCTGGGTTCAAGCAATCCTGCTGCCTCAGCCTCCCGAGTAGCTGGGACTACAGGCATGTGCTACCACGCCCAGCTAATTTTTTGTATATATATTAATTGGCCAATTAATTTCTTTCTACTTATAGTAGAGACAGGGTCTCGCTCTTGCTCAGGCTGGTTTCAAACTCCTGACCTCGAGCAATCCGCCCGCCTCGGCCTCCCAGAGTGCTAGGATTACAGGAGTGAGTCACCGCACCTGGCCTTTTTGTTTGTATTTTTAAATCTCTCTTCTGGGAGGGTTATATTTTTTTTAATTTTAGTTTTTAAAATATATTAATTCTTTTTTATTAAATATCTTTTTTACATAAGACATTCTCATAGAATGGGAGGCTTATTTAGAATTGAGGGAGGGGGGCAGAATTTTCTCTCCACCTCACTGATCCCCTACTCCTAAAGAGGATGACTGGTCTCATATACAACAAAGGTCAGGCTGTTCCCTGGCCTTTTGTTTGGGCTCACTGCCAGGGAATCCACTGTGTATGGATCAGAGAACTCTAACAGAATGTAGCAGGAATCACCCATTCCCTTGCCCCCGTCCAAGCATTACCTCCTTCTTCCTCCTGCCAGAACTGAGCATCAGTGTAGAACACCAAGCCAGAGCCACCCTTCTCCCACTTGAGCTCGATCTCCTCCTCAAAGAGGCGTTCTGTGGTCCGCTCCTGCCTGGTCACATCCTCATGCAGTGCTTCATGCCGCTCCCACTCCTCACCTCGGTCATCATCCTGGGAGAAGGCAGGGAGGGAAGCTCAGGACACAGGCAGCACATGAGATGGGCCCTCAGCTCCATTCCTTCAAATTTCTCTGAGAAGCAGTACTTAATGGCCCTTGACCTACACACCTCTCCATCCCCTGATGTTTTTCAATATAGTTTGCTCCTTTGCCCACAAAGCTTATTCTCATGTGCTTTGCTTTTGGCCATATTGTTCCCCCTGCCTGAAAGAAATATCTGCCCTCCTCCCCCCACACCCTTTTCTTCTCTACTTAGTGAAGTCTTTGTCCCTCAAGTCCTCCAGCTTACATGATGCCTCACTCTTAGGCCCACAGCTCTCACACAAGTCTCTGAACTCTTAGTACTAATCAGTACATACTGTTAGGCTTTTGTATGTGTCATAAAGAAAGAACAAGAACTAACACTTATCTACCATGTGTCAGCCCCTTCCCATAACTTAGCTGCTTCAATCATCTCAACAGCCCTGCAAGATAAGTACCCATTCTACAGATGAGGAAAGGAAACAGGTTCAGAGGAGTACTATTTGTCCAAGATAGATAGTACACCGAAAGAGAGTAGCAGAGCCAGCATGCAAACCGAGGTCACCACACCACGCAGCTTCTTGAGATGCTGGTTCTTTCTCTTTGGGGGAGATTTTAGGATCTTTAAGGGCAGAAAATGGGTCTTAAAAAGGCTTTGGAATCCTGTACTAGCCCTTGTCTTACAACTGCTTGACTGAACTTGTGGAATGACAGGATGACTCCTGGCTTGAAACCCTGGGGGTACTTTGTCTTGGTTAAACTCCAGGCGGCCTCAGAATCACAGAGCAAGTACTAGAGAAAAATCAGGATGGTACCACACTGAGGATGTGTTAACAATTCTAGGCTGGGGGTTTGGAAATATGGGTGAATTACTTTTTACCTGGAGTACTTACTTACTTATTTATTTATTGAGACAAAATCTCACTCTGTTGCCCAGTCTAGAGTGCCATGGCATCAGCCTAGCCCACAGCAACCTCAAACTCCTGATCTCAAGCAATCCTTCTGCCTCAGCCTCCTGAGTAGCTGGGACTACAGGCATGTGCCACCATGCCCAGCTAATTTTTTCTATATATTTTTAGTTGGCCAATTAATTTATTTCTATTTTTAGTAGAGATGGGGTCTTGCTCTTGCTCAGGCTGGTTTTGAACTCCTGACC